AGAAAGAAAGAAAGAAAGAAAGAAAGAAAGAAAGAAAGAAAGAAAGAAAGAAAGAAAGAAAGAAAGAAAGAAAGAAAGAAAGAAAACAAGCGTTAATGATCTGTTTATCTTATCTGTAAAGAAATACCCCAAACATCTAGAGTTGAGATTGGAGCAAAGATAAAACAACTATCTGTGCATAATTCAGTTGCCACATTCCCCCCGACCCCCCACTTTAACCCTGAAAACACCCATGAAGTCAGGAGCTGTGTGGGTCTCTCTGTCTGTCTGTCTGTCTGTCTGTCTGTCTGTCTGTCTGTCTGTGTCTGCTTTTTTTTTTTTTTTTTTTGTGGTCGGGTTGTATGGTTGTCTGGTTGCCTGATTGCTTACTCCATAAAACTCCACCAGAGTGACTCCTCCAGAAATTCTCATTCAATGATCAAAATCAAGGGTCCTAAGGGAAGAGTCCCTACATGGAAGGGTAAAAAGTCACTAGCCCTCACCTGTGTTTGGTGACAAGAAGAACTCCATACCAATCGTCTACCTTCATACATGAGGGCAGGGCAGGGAAGGAATAAATTTATTCAGGTGATCTAGTCAGTCACACTGATGGGTCTCTAGGGCTCCCCCTCCATGTCTCCCCCTCTCTGCCTGTCTGTGTGTCGGTCTCTTGTCTTTGCCTCTGTGTGTGTGTGTGTGTGTGTGTGTGTGTGTGTGTGTGGCGGGGGCATGTGTGCCTGTTCCTGTTTGTTGATTCAGGTGATCTAGTTATACTCCCCATCTCTCCCTCTGTCTGCCTGTGTGTCGGTGTGGTGTGTGTGTGTGTGTGTGTGTGTGTGTGTGTGTGTGTGTGTGTGTGTGTGTGTGTGTGTCTGTCTGTCTGTCTGTCTGTCTGTCTGTCTGTCTGATTATTCAGTTGGTGTAGTTAGATTTGTGGATCTCTCGCTCCCCCTCCATCTCTTCCCCTGTGTGTCTTTCCGTCGGTCGCTGGGTCTCTGTCTCTCTCTGTCTCTGTCTCTGTCTCTGTCTCTGTCTCTTTCTCTCTGCCTCTCTGTCTCCTGTCTGTCTCTGTGTCCCCCCTCCCCGCCTCCCCGCCTCCCCGCCTCCCCGCCTCCCCGCCTCCCCTCGGTCTTGCTTTTCCTTGTGGACTCCAGCGGGGCTCTGCTTACTCTGCTTGCCAGCCTGGAACCCACCCGCCAGCGGCAACTTCTTCCTTGGAAGAAGGAAGGAGGGAGCAGGAACCAGCGTCCCAGAAGAGACTCTCATTTTCAACGTGGACACTCGGTCTGTGAACAAGATGGATGCCGCCGCCGCCATTTAGGCCCGAGTTTTTAGGGGAAGCTGTCTACCAACCCAGACACATTCCCAGCCCACCTCCTTGAGAATGTCTCAAGGATGGATGGCTAATTTTATTCAATCATCATCTGGTTTCCGGAAGGAGAAAATGCCTCTGCTCACCCCCACCCCGCAGTTCCCCTCCCCGGGTATCCTGCACACGAGAGATGGCAGTCCTTGTGATATCTGAGCTGCCACACCACACCACACCACACCACACCACACCACACCACACCACACCACACTGTGGCAGAAAGTTCCTCCTATGGATTGTCTGGCCTCAGGAATTGACTCTCTCCCCGAGCCGAGGCCCCTTTTCCTTGGGAAAGAAGGATGTCCATGAGGACAAAAATAAGACCGAAAACAGAGCAAACTTATCCATAAGACAGGTAGGGCACGAAACCTTTCGGCCGGTCGGTAAAGAAAATCCCCAGGCAAAGGCTCACCGGCCGGGTGGTGCCGGTGGCAGCAGTGGCTCACTGCCCATCATCCCTCTGAGGTGCTGAGCGAGGGGGCTGAGACCTGAGGATAGTGGTTCATAGCCCGCCCGGGCAGGAAAGTCCATTTGAGACTCTTCATCTCGATGGGTCACCCAAAACGCCAGAAGTGGAGGTGGACTTGGGGGAAAATGCCCTAGTGAAGATTTCCTCGGGGCTGAATTAGTACTACCGTGTCGTCATGCAAGAGCACGAGCTCGCAGAGGACAGTACCGTACCTCTGGTTCCGGGCGGGCAGAACCCGGTGCGGGGGGGGGGGGGGGGGGGGAATCCCAGAGGTGGACTGGGCTGGGAATGTGTCTCAGCGTGCTTGAAGCCCTGGGTTCAATTCCTCAGTACCACCTAAACAGAACAAGCCAGAAGGGGCTCGAGTGGTAGAGCAGTGACCTTGAGCATAAAGAAACTCAGGGACAGTGCTCAGGCCCGGAGCCCAAGCCCCAGGACTAGGCCAAAAGGAAAAAGGAAAAGCAAATGACGATAATAATGAATTATAACAACCTATATGTATGTGTATGTCAGAACTCTCACTACCCACTACCGGGTAGGCGAGGACTGACCGACTGAGCGAGTGACTGACCCGACCCGTGTTTTGCCCCTCCCGCCGCCCCATCCACCTTGTCGACGGCGAACGCGCGCCATCTAGTGGTGGTTTTGTGAATTGCAGTTTTCTCTCATGAAATGCATGAAAA